ATAAAATAAAATAAAATAAATAAATAAATAGGGGAGAATATAAAAATAACAACACGTAAAGGAATAATATTGGAAATAATTTTGAGCTTGGGGCGAAACTTTAAACAGATGTCTAAAGGGATAAAAGTTGGAGAGGACGCCAACTCCCGCTCGCCCTTCATCAGCTGGCAAGTTTGTGGTATGCGAAATTGTACTTCAAGTATATAAATGACTTTGGCGTTATTCGGAAAGGAGCTTAAGTGTTCCGAGTTATTTTTTTGTCCACATTTTGCTATGGCTTTTATTTGGATTGGCGTGGCTAGAACTTTTCGAACAAACATTTAAGTCTGGTTGGATAATAACAAAAGTGTTGCTTTATAACAATTTTCAGTTAGATTTCAGCGATGCTGTGCGGACTGAGATAGGATGATCATCAATCAGTCAGTCAGTCAGTCACTCAGTCAGTCAGTATACAAAATTCGTACTATTTAGACTGCCTTAGTTTAAAGCGTTATAGCCTGAATACTTCGCTTGGAGCTTCGATAATCAATCAGGTCACACATTGAGCCTTGCGCATCAATCAGTCAGTCATTTCATTAGTTAGGCAATCGATTAATCTAGTATAAGTAATCAACCAGTTAGTCAAATAATTAGTCTATCAGGTAAATAATTATTCAATCAAGCGAGTTCAAGCAGTCGATAACTCAGTTAAACAGTCAAATCAATAAGTCCATCAAGCATTTAGTTATACAATAATCAATCAGTCAATCATTCAGTTAATCAATCAGCTGATTAATAAATCAATCAATCAGTGAATCAATGCATTAGAAAATTGTATACTCAGACCGAAAATAACCCATATAATAGGTCAATCAATCAATCAGCTTAATTGTTTGGATTCCCTTTATAGCTTGATTTGTGATTTAATCAACAGTCAGTCAATCAATCGATAAGCTAGTAAATCAGACAGTTGATCGATGAGTGCGTAAGCCAATCAATCAATCAGTCAGTCAGTCATTTAACTAATCAGTTTGTCAGTCAATAAACAATTGACTATAATCAGACAGAGAAATATTCAGTTAAATAAATGTAAATAGATAGCTAAGAAGTCAATGATTGGTCCACAATCAATCATCAATCATAAGCAATTAATTAATCAGTAAATCGCTTTAGCAGTCAGTCATTCAGCCAGATAATGCATTAATTCAGTTAAATAGTTAGCTAATAGGTCAATCAATCATTTAGTCAATCACAAAGCTCAACAGCTGGGTCAATCATTCAGTCAGCTAGACTGTTTGACTGAGCAGTTTAAGCCAGTAACCTGTTAATGTTTTCTAGCTCCTATGGCTTACACTGTGCTACCATCATCAGTCAATCAGTCAATCAGTCAATCAGCCAATCAATCAGTCAATCAGTCAAGCAGATTTACTGCTACTCTTTATTTCTTCAGCTCTTTAGCTTCAGTAGCTTCAACTCTATTTTCATTCTCAGTCAGTGCCTCATCAGTCAGTCAATCAGTCAGTCTGTCCGTGAGGCAATTTGAATCAGTTTAGATTGCTCGCAGTCTTCATTCCCAGACTATTTGCAGCCACTGTGGACATGGAGGCTAGACGCTGGCCGTTGCATATTAACGAGGCGCCTTTCGCATGTGGCTAGCAACATGTTGCGCTGTGGCATGCCCCGTGTTGCTGCTGCCTGTGGTGAGTTTCGCGCAGCCGAAACGCAGGCGCCACGCAGTTGCCCCATCGGCGGCGGTTGCCAGTTGCCAGCGATTCGTTCAACGTAACGGTAACGGCTAGGCAGAGCGAAGCGCGCCAGCAAACGACGTCAACGTCGTGGGCGTCGCTTGCCTCGTATACGTATACTACGACCCGTACCCAAGTACCGTTAGTCGAGCCGCAGTCCACGGATCGTGTGTGTCTCCATCTGTGTGCTTGTGTGTGTGTGTGTGTGGGTGATTCTCTCCAGATCCTTTCTTTTTGTTTGTGTTTTTGTTAAGTGAAAGACGGTAGTGAGTGACAGAAATCCGGAATCCGGAATCCGGACCCGGTAGTGGCCCCGGCACCGTCACCGGCACCGGAACTAGATCACGCCGTGGCCATGTACAGCGCCAGCGCCGAGGATGCAGCCCGTGCGGCCGACACCTACAAGGCCTTGGTGGACTACTACGCGAACGCACGGAGCGCCGCCAGCCACATCGTCTCGCTGACGCTGTCGCCGCTGAACGAAACGCTGTCGCTGGGCCTGGCCGACGCCGGCAATGGCAGCAGCAGCGGCGCTGGCCCGGGCGGCAACGCCAGCAGCAGCGCTGATGACGACATGGATGCACTGGGCGCTGGCCAATTCTTCTTGATACCCGATGGCGCCTCAACAGAGAGGAGCATTGGAGCACCCTCAGCCGCAGCGGCAGCTGGCGGCGTTGGCAGCGTTGGCAGCGGCAGCGGTGGCAGCAGCACCGCCAGCAGCGCCACCGAAATGCCCGCCTGGCTAATACCCAGCTACAGCCTGATCCTGCTCTGTGCCATCGTGGGCAATCTGCTGGTGATATCCACGCTGATGCAGAACCGCCGCATGCGCACCATCACCAATCTCTTTCTGCTCAACCTGGCCATCTCGGACATGCTGCTGGGCGTGCTCTGCATGCCCGTCACACTCGTCGGCACGCTGTTGCGCAACTTCATCTTTGGCGAGTTCCTCTGCAAGCTCATTCAGTTCTCGCAGGGTAAGTGCGGGCCAATTCCCTGATTACAGTGCTCCAGCTGGCCTTGGGGCGGGCGGCCTGCGGCCTGAGGGTCGTCGAAAGTGTTGTGAAATGAGAATGCAGCAGGCAATGTGAAGTGCACGCATTTCATAGTCTACATTGGCAACATTGTGTGCGGGTTATGGCGCCATCTAGCGTCGAGTAGTGCAGGCTAACTGCAGTGCGGGCTTAAAGCATCAGTGAAAATGCTACGAAAAACTGAAAAAAAAAAACAATTTTTTTTATTTTTTTTATTTTTTTTTATTATTTTTTTACAGTGTATAAATAAATATATGGACAGTTTACAAAAAATAGTCTGCTTGATAAAACATTTTTTTTTTGTTTTTTAATTGTCTCTACATATACAACTGTGAACAAAAACTACTCTAAATTTATTTTGCTTTAATTTTGCAGCAGGAACAATTTACTAAATATATTTTGGTGTACAAAAATCATTAACTTTGATAAATTAATTGTTTGTCAATATTATTATTATTTTTTTATTCATTTTTATTAAGTTTTTAATTTTAGTTTTCATGCTCATTCATGAAAGTGAAATGAGTATATTGATTTTGTGCCATGTCCGCCTCGCTGTCCGTCCGTCTGTTGGTATATTGCAGCTACAGACTTACACAGTGTCCAAGTTAATCCGATCCTCCCACTAGGGGCGTGGTAAATCATGGCAAAATGCATTTTCCGGTATATCAGCAGCCCTGGTAGTATAGAGATGTATAATCGCTCGCACGTACACAATCTATCAATATCTACGCCCATTGGAGGCGTGGCAAACCGCAAATGTTTTTAGCTTCTACAGTCTGCGAGCTAGAAATTTCCAAATTGGACTCAAAAGTAATTACTATTCCCCTTTGGGGGCGTGGCACACGAAAAATACCCTGTAATTTGATCAGTTTATGAGCCAAAGCATTAAAATTTTCATAAACACCTTAGGGGTTTATCAAAAATTGACCACGAATGGCATGTCCATGACCACCAGGGGCGTGGCAAGTCTGGGAAAACTGCAGTTTTAGAGGTAGCAAATAAAAACGTAACGATATTTGTATTCTCTATTAAATTTTATATATTATACATATACAGAATGAGGGCGTAGCAGAACGTAAAATGGCACTGGTATATGAAGGAGTGAGCTATAGTCGGTAACACCCGACTGCTACGCTCTTTGTCACTTTAGACATAGAAGGCAAAGTCTGCTAAAAATATTCCTATATATATACATGTATTTTATTTTAATGAATAACTTAATAAGACATTGACTAGATTTCTGATTTCCAAATTTCGTGAGCTTTAAAAAAAAACTATATATAATTTATCTTGCATCAATTTGGCAGCTGCCAGCTGCCGACACTTGGAAGACAACTGTCAAATTTCAAATTTATCGCCGAGCCGAATACTTTTTTTTTTTTTTTTTTTTTTAGATATTTGGACAGTTTAATAAAAAATTATGAATACATGTATAAGGATAGATTGGCAGTGTCTGGCTGTCGCACACTTAGTAACATCTGCGACAGCGGCTGTGGCTGTGGCTGTGGCTGTGGCTGAGACTGTGCGAAAAGTTGGTCAATAAAGCGCATATGCTTCAATTGAAGTTCTCATCATTTGTGAAGGGGCCAGCGCAGCGGCGCTTCCATTACAAAATGCGACCATGAAAACTTGTATGCTGCCAGCTATAGTTTCAGTTAGTAAATAGCAAATGACAGCGGCAGGTCGGGTGTCACAGACTGCGGAATACACTGTTAAAAGGAATAAATTGATGGAGAATGAGCTGATATGAGTTCATTTAGTTTATCTATGCCCAAATATTAGCATTCCCACGAGCAATTCTTGAGAGCATTCTAAAACTAATATGCTCTTAATTACTATGCAAACAGTGTATGCAAATCGCATACATAAAACTGTTCACAGTCTGTGCTATACATACGAAATGAGCAAAGTTTCTATTTTCCTGCATATTAAGAACAAGTGAAACATCAACCAACTGAACTTTCATCAACTTCTATACTTATTTATATGTATAACTATATATATATATATGTATTATATATGCGTATATAAATATCTGAAATGTATTGCGTACCACTACAAAAGCTGATAATTTGAAATTGTTGAACGTGGGCGTAAAATAATTATGGCACAAAATATGTTTATTAGAATATCTATGTATACATATACCTACTACATACATCTATATATGTATATATCCATATTTGTGTAAATATTAGAATATCAAAGGAAAAGTTGAGCATTAAAGGGCGAAAGTGAAATCCTCTACTATAAATATTCGCATGGGCCGGTGTTACGAGGAGGTAAATCAGATTTAATGAGATTTAGATTTAAGCAACAAACAGGGAGAGTGGTCCAGTGGGGAGTGCACGACTAGGTGTCACTTAGGCCACGATCAGAGAGTATTATATTCTGCTACAGAAGTCAAGTATGAATTTCTAGTCTCCTTTAAAGCTCACGGGATTTATTAAAGCATTCATAAAGCGGTAGACACAAAGCTGGTCGCAAACACAGACAGAGATAGATAAATTGCGAAAGTGACAGAGATAGCTAGAGTGATTGACGTGCTTACAGATGGACCAAGACGCAGTACAGGTTATATAAATGAGAGTATAAAGAGAAAGAGAGAAAGTTGGGGACAGGCAGAAGGGAGTGGGCAGAGAAAGAGCAAAATAAAGAGGATGAGAAATAGAGAGGGAGATAATGAGAATGGGAGAGAGAGAGCTAGGACAAAATTATAGCGATAGAAACAGTTTGAAGCGAGTCAGTGAAAGGAAATGAAGAAAGAGAGAGGCAGGGAGAGAGAGACAGTTACAGAGTCAGTGAAAGAGAAAGTGAAAGACAGACAGTAAGAGAGAGAGACAGTAAGAGAGAGAGAGAGAGAGGCAGAAAGAGAGAAAGAAAAAGGAAGAAAGAGTTGAAGAGCAACAGATACAGTGAGGGTAAGGCAGAGAATGAGAGAGACAGGTAATTAGAAACCGGGATGGAGAGAGAGAGGGATGGAGAGAGAAAGGGGGATTCAAAGAGAGAGAGATGGATGTAGAGAGAGAGAGAGAGATGGATATAGAGAGGGAGAAAGAGACACAGACAAGACAGATAGAAACTTCTGTCCCTTTATCTGCCTTAATCCCTTTGAGAAGAAAAAAGCCAGGACGATTGCTGCGGCTGAGCTTTAAAGTATATCGCATCGAATCAGATAATAGAGTTCCGCACAACAGAATATGAAATAATACTTCCAAATGCCGAACTAAGCTCTTTATGCTAGCGTAACTCTATCTTTGTTTAAGGATACGGAGGCAATCAGATGGAAATCCCATATTGACTGCGTATTCAACCGAATTTCTTCTTCCTCTTCTTAACTAAATACCTAGTTGCTTGTGAAGAATAAAATGATAAAATACATAATAAATAAAGCTATATTTAGACATACCCACGCAAGACATTTTGTGAAATAAATTTGAAATGTATTTACAGTGGAATTAAATTGATTTGTTTATTTTTGTGCTTGTGCCTGAACTGAAATCGAAATGACACTTTAATAACAATAACAACAAGAAAGGTGCGAAGATGACCGACTGGCAGATACCCTGAGCCCTGAGCTTTATAAGTATATCTCTATGCACACACATATGTGCATATAGATAGGCTTTACTAAAAAACTTAAAAAAACTAAACTATAATGATAGAGATGGATTGAGTTTATTAGTAAAACATTTGGATGTAAAGCACAAGTTTCTAGTTACTAAAATACGTTTATCGATTATTATCGATAATGGCGAAAAGTGATTTTTGTGATTATGCGTTAAGGTTTTAAGATACTGATACTCAGATTGAACGGGTCTAGCGACGAATGAACGGACAACTGGACATTTCGATATATATCGACAAGTATCGACTCAGCTAGTCGCCCATATCAAAGACCACGTATGTATTTTGGCATCTGCCACGCCTCCTACTGCCTGTTACATACATTGTCACGCCACCAGCATGCCCCAAATTCTCACTCTCAATGTGTGCAGGGTATCAAAAGGTAGTCGCCATGAATCTATTGATAACAATTCTCAATTCTCAATTATCTTATTTCTTTGACAACAAATCTCTTGCTATAAAGTTAGAGCAAATAGATTGCTAAGCCTTGGTGTATGCGTGTGTTTGTGTGTGTGTGTGTAGATTAGCTAATATAAAGTGAAAGCTGAACAATAAATAGAACATATCGTTTCACTACTGCAAGGGTCGCTGCCATCTTAATTCACAATTTTACTTCATTTAATGGCTCCGCGCGTTTGTCTCTTTGTGTTTTGTTGTTGTTGCTGTTGTTTTTTATTATTTTTTATTTATGCCATGCAGACGCAAATAAATAACGCTTTTCACTTTTCACTTTTCACTTTGTTAGCAGCAGTTGTTCTTGTCTGACTTTTACAATCTGGAAATTTTTCTACTTTTCATTGCAGAATTTTTTTTTTTAATTCTTTTCTTTTGGGAAATACTCCAGAAATATTGTGCCTGGCATAGCCGTGAAACTATGGGCTAGTTTAGAGTTCTACACTTGAAAAGTATAAGACAAGAAGTGAGGGCTTGATTTGCTATCTGGGAGTCTTCGACTGCTAAATACCCGGCAAATGAGAAGTTACGAATGATTTGAAGGTTCGGTTTAAAAAGTTTCTAACCGATGGACGCACATTGGCCACAAAAGCCAATATACCCTTATTATATACTGATATAGCCTTAGAGCTGAAAGTAAAGAACTAGAAAGAACTTTAGTTGACTTTCCCTTGGCACTCGCAATCCAGGGTATTTGTCAGTCGTTCACTTCCCGGCTCATGCACAATTACTCATTTATTTTTTTTGGTATTTTGTTGTCCTTTAGACTCGGACTGCCGCCCACTCGCTTTCGATTCCCGATGCTCCCCAACTTATTTTCGGCGCCCTTTTGTCATGCAAATGACATGCAAAACGAAGGCGGT